GTTTGCATGACCCTCAGCCGAAGTGGTATCCGTAGGGGGTACGTCCGATGCAGCTGTCTGGGAGACCCCTACGGGATCATCGTAAATGACCACCCCACCCTCGTGGTGCACGGGTTCAGGATGGGATGGCATGGCTGATTGCTCGGAAAAAGGAAAAATATCCTCATTGAATTTGACATCTCTAGAAACAAAGATATCACCTGTGTCCCAATCATATAATTTCCAACCCTTTTTGCCAAAAGAGTATCCAACAAAAACACAACGCCTACTCCGCGGCGCAAACTTATCACCCCTAGATTTCAAGTTATATGCGAAGCACAAACATCCAAAAACCCGTAAATGGGAAAAATCAGGAACCTGTCCGGTGAGAACCTGATGTGGTGTCTTACCTTCAAGCAAACCAGAGGGTGTGCGATTAATGACATGCACGGCTGTGAGCACGCACTCCCCCCATAAGTGAATAGGTATATTGGCCTGAAACATCAAGGCCCTAGCCACATTTAAAATGTGACGATGCTTCCTCTCAACGCGACCATTCTGCTGAGGTGTTTCGACACATGAGGTCTGAAAGATTATTCCACGAGTATCAAAATAAGGAAACATACATTTAAACTCTGTCCCGTTATCACTACGAATGGTTTTCACAGAGACATCAAATTGCTTCTCCACCATAGTAATAAAGGATGTAAAAAAATGAAATACTTCCTTTTTGTCACGCAACAAGTATACCCATACAGCCCGTGAAAAATCATCAACCAGAGTAAGAAAATAAACAGCACCACAAGTAGAAGGGGTTTTATAAGGACCCCACAAATCACAATGTATCAGTTCCAAAATGCAACTAGCGCGAAAACTGCTGACAGGAAAAGAGTCACGAACTTGTTTGGCTTGCGGGCACACCTCGCAGGCTTTACTCAATTTTTTCGCAGAAGTACTAGTAATAAAGTGAGGTAATAGTTTAATGACCCTATCTGACGGATGACCCAGACGATGATGCCACAGCTCGAAATCTGACAGACCCGTCGTGTGAACAGCATGTAGTGCGGGAATTCCCCGAAAATAATATAGCCCATCTCTTCGTTCACCTGCTCCAATCAGGTTCCTCGAGTGTAGGTCCTGAATAGCACAAAATAAATTAGTGAAAACAACAATACAAGCATTCTTATCAATCAGCTGGGAGACAGATATAAGATGACAATTCAATCCAGGCACATAAAGTACATGATCCAAGACCAGATATTTATTGAGAGGCACACGGCCCTCTACTTCGGCAGTCACCGTTCTCCCATCGGGCAACCCGACCGGGCATGCTTCAATGCGGGTACGTTGGACCAAGCAAGACAGATCACCCGTGACGTGATGTGACGCCCCAGTATCAATTATCCATGGTAAAGAATTAAACATACCCGACATCCGATCACAGGAAGTAGGAGCAACGTTAATCAAATTGAAAAATGTTTGAACCTGTTCCCGAGTTAATTCATTCAACGTGTTTATCTCACCGGAGGAGACTGCCCCATTGCCGGTCACGCTCCCAGGCCCGCATGGCCCACTGCTGCTGCCAGTAACAGTGTGAACACGCACACTTCCTCCATGTCTAGCTGAAGAGGGATCTGTCATAGCAACGTTGAAGACGAAACACGCTGGTGCTGTCTTCTTCGCAGCGTTTGTCTGCCTTTAGTGCGCAGGGAATTACATGTGATTCTCTGATACCATGTTCGAAGTAGTATATGGAACGTATGGCATAAAATCCGAGCTGTCTTTATTCATGTGCAAAGCCAAAGATATATACACGTACAAGAAGAATAATGAGCCCTTGGCCCACCATGACTAAACTAATATACAATTAATGAATTATACAAATAATAATAGGCCCATAACAATTCGCCTTGTATTGATCTTAGCTGTTGCTAATGCAAAAAAAGAGTGATCAATTCCTCTCATGGAGCTTTTGAAGACAACACTCTCAGTGGCGGATCCAGGAAACAGAGTTATTAGGGGCAGAAGAAAAAATGGCGTGCATGAAAAACACAACCAAATATAACCGAATAGTAAAATTTTGTATTAAAATACACCCAAGTTTCATAACTAAATAAAGTATATTACAATATATAAAAACCCTGAAAAGTGTAATTAATTCTTTGATAAGTAAGGTACTTTTTTGTGTTTATATATCTTAAACCTTCTCCTAGAGTGGTACATATGTAAAAATTATGAGCCCGTTTGGTAACACTTAAATTAGCTGAATCAGCTGATTCTGCTGAAATTTATGAAGTTGTGGCTGAAATGGCTGGATTAGCCGATTTTGCAATTTATGAAAAAAATTAAAATATATGAGTACTTTATTAATAAAATGAAAAAATATATATAAATAATAAATAAAATGGTCGTTTACAATAACTTTAGTCAATCTAGCCAGAAAAGTAAGTTCAACCTTACTTATTTTGATTAGTACATCATTCAGCGCACAAAATCAATAGTTATGTATTTGGTAAACGGGCTCTATATTTTATATGGCTTTCTTAATTTGTCTCTTTATACTTCTTAAAAGTTTATAATGATAGTTAAGTAAGAATTATATGTAGTATTTTACATGAGTTTCGTAATTCTTAAATCATAATACTATTTATAATTTGTTGCAAATTTTAAATTTTAAATTTTAAATTTTAACAATCTAACACAAATACACCATAACACTTTAACACATACTAATTATACAATAATCAATACTTAGTACTTCAATAGTCAAATTACTCAAATACAGAGTATTTAATACTCAATAATACACTTCCTTGTTTACCCGACCTGAAGTATATGGAGTACTGAGTAATTGAGTATTATTTTAGGGGCATTAGGCTTATGTATACGGAGCATATCATTTTTCTTTGGGCTGAGTGAAGTTCGGTGGGGGCATTCGCATTTTTCTATTGGGGGCAATTGTATGTACTAAACTTTTTCCTAATTTAATATAGGGGTTATCGAAAGTGTATTGGGGGCAGCTGCCCCCATAGTCTAGATGTGCATCCGCCTCTGAACACTCTGTGACAACAAAATGGTGGATAACTTTCTTGCAGATTGCATGATACTTTATATTAAAAGAAACTCTACTCTTAGTATAGATGTAGACTCTATTTCTGACGAGTTTTTTTGTTTCAAAGCCTTGTCTAGAACAAATTCAGTGGAGAACTCTTATATTATTTTTTAAGTTATTTAAATGTTTCAGCTCACTGCACCCTAACATGAAATCGTGGATCCGGGATATAGGAGACTTTATTTCATAGCATTCAAGTGGTCGCCACCGGCATTCCAACATTTGTGGGCGTTCGTACATGTAATATTACTTCGTATATCCATCATGTTATTGGGGAACATTGCGTCGGTAAATTTAATAAGTAGTAATGTCACGTGTTTAATTTTTAGCAATGCATGCAATGCCCATTTATCAGCAACGATAGCAAAAAAAAATTATAAAAATTGCCGAAATTAGAAATAATAAAAAAACAATATTTGAGAGTACAAATTATAAAATTTCAAAATATGTGCACCACATATTTCCGTAACTTACAGTATTCTGAACTTTTACTACTTGGGGTAGTATCATATTTTGATAATATATATTAGGCTTTAATATGACAGTACTTCTGCAATCATTCATATAGTAGTATTTTTCAAGTATGATAATAATATAATTACTCATAAGTAGAGAACAAGAGTATAGTGATCACATTTTAGAATTTCACATTAATTTTACTCCAATTTAGGACAATTTCTATAAAATTAGGTGAAGTTAAAAAAAAAAAAAGTATGTATAAGTAGGACAAATTACAACACTAATACTGTCAAATCTCTAATGAAGTCAAAATATTGTAATAAAATATCAAGATAGATCACAACGAGTTACTCCTATATATTGCAACTTTACTAATTTACTTGGAAATAAAGAACATTTAATGAGACTTCACTACATTGCCATTGCTTGTAGACTTATTATATAACTTTAATTAATTTACATGATGTTGAACGTAACGATCCACAAGAGTACAAGACATATTCTACATTCATTCTATACGGAGAAATTTGTGCCCTAACCTGTTCCGCTGTTCGTTTCGGCCGTATCCTTGGGTTCTTAATAAAAAGAAAAATATGAATTCTCAATCTCAACTCTGTCATACACTCGGCCTAGAGATCACCGACTATATTCTTTCTTTATTGGAGAAATTCTATAGACGTGAATTAGCGGCCATGCAAATCTATGAAATGAAGTGTCACATTGATCACAAATTTGTACTATAGTAACCCATGTTCATTATTTATAGAGTGGTGTATTTAATCACGTGTAATATGGGCTTTGAGTGGCTTTTAAGTACTTTAGACATCTGGTGATATTCAATTAAAACTTTTAAAGAATCTTTGGGCCTGTTGACATTTGCTTCCCTTTTTCAAATTCTTCATTATTATTTTTCGAATTTTAGAGAATATTACCCGAAATAGGACTAAAAAGGTTTGAAAATTCCAAAATAGGACTGTCATGTTTTATTCCTAAAATAGGACTAATTATTGTCATGTTCTGGCAGTACCAGACTTCAAACATGACGGTATTTTCCAAACTTGACAGTCACTACTCCTATTTTGGGAATAAAACATGACAGTCATATTTTGGAATTTTCAAACTGTTTTAGTCCTATTTCGGGAAGTTTATTTCTTTTTCATATGTTTCTTAGTTAGTTTACTATTTTGTAGTATTGAAAACCTCTTTTTTATGTTTCTTAATTTGGGGAACCATTTTTGTTATCACAGATGTTCAATATCATATATGAGAAATCGTAAACAAATGTTCTGTTGTCTATCTTTCAATTACGTACATTAGCCTCATTTGTGTACGTATGTTGTGTGCGCGTATGTTGATATTAGACTTGAAAGGAGTTTATAGATATCAACTAGTATTCGAATTGGCATTTCGAGAATGAGGGGTGAGAGTTGGAATGAATAATTCGCCGTCGCGCTACCTTTCCATTCATTGAATATAAATACAACTGTACAATGCTTATCTCTTTAGAAGATACATTCGTGTATGACAAAACTACGTATCTAAGTCTGGTATACATTGGAGAGTCTTGCGGATGAGAATAGCTAGTAACAATAATGGGATAATACTGTACATATTAAATAATAAGATAAATGCTAAATAATATGTGAGGCCATGTGATACATACGTATGCATTCCCATGCATACGTAGGATGTGTGCTATTACGCCCCCGCAGTTTGATCGGGGGGTAAGCTTACGTTCAAACTGGAGCGAAACTCGTCAAATAGAACCCGTGGAAGTCCCTTCGTGAAGATGTCCGCATATTGGAAGCGGGAAGGAACGTGGAGAACACGAACATGACCAAGGGAAACTCGTTCTCGGACGAAGTGAATATCCATTTCAATGTGCTTGGTTCTTTGATGTTGGACCGGGTTATGAGACATATAGATAGCACTAACATTATCACAATAAATGAGGGATGCATGGGAGAGAGGGTGACGAAGCTCGAGTAGAAGATTACGAAGCCAACATGTTTCGGCTACCGCGTTTGCCACGCCACGGTATTCAGCTTCAGCGCTAGAACGGGATATGATAGCTTGGCGTTTAGATGACCAAGAAATAAGATTTTCTCCCAAAAAAATGCAATACCCGGATGTAGAACGGCGGGTGTCGGGGCATCCTCCCCAATCGGCATCGGTGTAGGCGAGGAGTTGATTGGTGGCAGAAGCGCGGAGGTGAAGGCCGTGATGCTGGGTACCTTTAATATAACGAAGGATGCGTTTAAGAGCGTCAAGGTGAGGCACCCGAGGGTCATGCATGTACAAGCATACCTGTTGAACCGCATAAGAGAGATCGGGTCTAGTAAATGTGAGATATTGCAAGGCACCGGCGAGACGACGGTATAAAGTAGGGTCGGGCACAGGAGGACCAACAGCCGCACGGAGTTTTGCTTTGGTGTCGACTGGAGTATTAGAAGAGTTACATGAGTGCATGCCAGCACGTTGTAAAATTTCACCAGCATATTTGGCTTGGGACAAAAAAATGCTGCCAGGAGAGTGAGTTACAGAAATCCCAAGAAAGTAAGACAAGGGACCCAGGTCCTTGATTGAAAATTCAGCAGCCAGTTTGGAGATTATATCGTTGAGGAGGGCAGTGGAGGATGCTGTAATGATGATGTCATCGACGTATAATAGAAGGTAGGCAGTAGCACCGGCATTGTGATGGATGAAAAGAGAATGATCGACCTTACTGTGTTGGAAACCCAGTTTGGCGACGTGAGAAGCAAACCTGTGGTACCATGCCCGTGGGGCCTGTTTTAAGCCATAAAGTGATTTCTTCAAGAGACAGACATGGTTGGGGCGGGTAACATCCCGAAACCCCGGAGGTTGATGCATGTAGACCGTTTCATTCAAGAACCCGTGAAGAAAAGCGTTGTTGACGTCAAGTTGATGGAGGGGCCAAGAATGAGATAGAGCAATGCTAAGAACCGTGCGGATTGTGGCGGGTTTGACAACCGGGCTAAATGTTTCATCACAATCAATACCGAGGCGTTGAGATTTCCCGTTAACCACTAGCCGAGCTTTATGACGTTCGAGACTCCCATCCGACCTATACTTATGTTTAAAGAGCCACATACAACGAATAACATTAGCATTAGGGGGACGGGGAACCAACTCCCACGTCTTATTATTAATAAGGGCAGTAAATTCACTGTTCATAGCCGACGTCCAGTTGGGATCTTGAAGGGCTTGGACATGAGATTTGGGTAGTGGGGAGGCGATGACAGAGGGGTTGTGTATGTTGGTGAGGTTATAGATTGGGTTTGGCCGAAACACCCCAGCTTTGCTGCGGGTGATCATGGGGTGAGTGCTTGTCGGTATTGGAGATGGACTGGGTGGGGGAGATGTGGGAGGCTGTGGCTGTGAAGTAGAGGGGTCAGCATGTGACGTTAGTGGAGGGGGATTATTAGTAGGTGGGGAATGGCCTGGAAGATTAGGAACGGTGGGGAATATTTGGGATAGTAAATATGGGGAAGGCTGGTCAATTAGAAAATCGTATGAGGATGGGGGGTCAGTATTTGTTTGAGTTTGGAATGGAAAGGTGGATTCATCAAACGTTACGTGACGGGAGATGAGTATCCGATTTGTGGAGAGGTCAAGACATTTGTAGCCTTTGTGATTGGACGGGAATCCGAGAAAAACACTAGGTGTGGTGCGAGCGGCTAATTTATGAGGAGTAGGAATATGGGGGTAGCATAAACAACCAAATATTCGTAAGTGAGAATATGAAGGTTGTTTATGATATAGCATGAGGGTAGGGGAGATAAATGATAGAGGTTTGGAGGGAAGAATATTGTGTAGATAGGTGGCCATTAAAACGGCGTGAGGCCAGAATTTGGATGGTATGGAAGCATGGATTAATAACGTTCGAGATATATTATTAATGGAACGAATTTTTCGTTCTGCTTTACCATTTTGTGGGGAAGTATACGGGCAAGAAAATCGAAAACACATCCCATTTGTGGAACAAAAATTGTGAAATAAAGAGTTGTTATATTCACGACCATTGTCACATTGTAGGGTTTTAATTGTTTTCCCGAATTGAGTTTGTACAAAAGTAAAGAAATGTACAAATTTAGAGAATGCCTCGGATTTGCAGTGTAGGGGATATATCCACAGAAAATTGGTAAAGTCATCCAGAAATAAAATATAGTAACGGTGACCGGTGGAACTTAAAATAGGAGAAGTCCACAAATCACTGTGTACAATATCAAACGGAGCATGAGTATAAGATAAAGAAGGGGAAAACGGTAATTTATTATGCTTTCCCATTTGACAAGATTGACAAACAGCATGATAAGTCTTATTACAATCAATAAGTTTATTGGTGCTAAGGTGACGAAAAACAGGAAGGCCGGGATGACCAAGACGGTGATGCCATATAGTGGAGGAGATGCCAGCGAAACTAGATGGGGACAGTGGGGCACGGAGAGCACAAAGTGGATACAAAACGCCTTGACTATTACACCTCAGGATGGGGATTCTGGTACGAAGATCCTTCACAGAAAAACCAAGAGGGTCAAATTCTATGGACACATGATTATCAATAGTGAATTGGCGTACGGAAATTAAATTTTTGATAATATGGGGGGTGTATAAGACATTACGAAGTTGAAGTGGGGGGTAGGGGGGAGGGAAAGAAGAGTGACCGTGACCCGAAATGGGAATGGATGAACCATTGCCGACAATGATAGAACCTGTAGTGCCCGTATTAATAAAAGACGAGAGAGTACCTTTATCCGAGGTCATATGAGAGGTGGCCCCGGTATCCATATACCAATTTTCGTCCGGAGCGTTGAGGGCCATGGTATGCATGGCAGATTGGATATCCGTGGGTGCATAAGAAGGTGGTGGCGCCGGAAAAGGACTGTGACCAACCGTGAAGGCATGGGGACGTGGGCCAAGGATGCCGGCCGATGTAGATGCAGGACGGGCAGTAGGAGACTGGCCAGGAGCAGTAGGGTAGGGGCACGGCGGGGGTGACCAGTAGGGTGGCATCCATGGAGCCCAAGGAGGGAAAGACCAGGGTGGGGGAGCCGGTGGCCATGCCGAGGGCTCATGGGAGCGTGCCCCAGAGGTTCTGCCGCGGCCCTTGCCTCGGTTGGAACTAGTGCGACCATTGCGTCCACCACGTGTTCCTGAAGTGGAGGTTGAGTCTGGACGAATGGAAGTTGTTGATACGAGAGCGGAAGCAGACGGAAAAGATGAAGATTCCGTCGTTTGGTGTAGTTGGCGGGTTTCTTCCAACAGAAGCATGGACCGAGCTTTCTCAAAAGTGGGTAAGGGATCGAGTTGCTGGATGAAGGAAGCCACACCAGCATAGGGCGCGGTCAGGCCATTGAGCAAACGTAAAATTAAACGTTTTTCATTGACCTCGGCATCCACGTTGGCTAGTTGAGTGGCGATGGTATGGAGCTCCTGGCAGTAGGCGGATATGGAGGGAAAGTTTGCCAATCGGGTATGAGAAAAGAGATCCTCGAGATGCACAGCACGTGAATTTTTGTTGTCCTGAAACACATCTTTCAAACGAGTCCAAGCGGTGTAGGCGGTGGAGTCGGGTTTGAGGATGGTATGCAGTAGGTCATGAGATATGGTTCCGTAGATCCATTGGAGGACAACGGCATCGATACGGTTCCACAGAGCAGTTTCTTCGGCTTGTCGGAGACGGTCTTCGTCAGATATAGTGGACGATGCAGGAGGTGGTGTAGGTGTTGCCGCCGGAGAAAGGTGGTCAAGAACATCGTACGCACGGGCTGTGATTTTAAATAATTCAGCCCATGAGGAATATTGCACTTTTTCGGTATCAAGAGTAAGGGGAATAAGGTTCTTGATAGAGGTAATGGCGAGTGCAGGGTGGAATGAAGAAGATTTGGGAGGAGCAGTCATTGATAGACAGGCCCGAAGGAAAAAAATAGAGTCTGATACCAAGTTGGAATGAATAATTCGCCGTCGCGCTACCTTTCCATTCATTGAATATAAATACAACTGTACAATGCTTATCTCTTTAGAAGATACATTCGTGTATGACAAAACTACGTATCTAAGTCTGGTATACATTGGAGAGTCTTGCGGATGAGAATAGCTAGTAACAATAATGGGATAATACTGTACATATTAAATAATAAGATAAATGCTAAATAATATGTGAGGCCATGTGATACATACGTATGCATTCCCATGCATACGTAGGATGTGTGCTATTAGTGAGAAAAGGCGGCCGTCTCCTAGGGTTTTCCTAGGCTGATTTTTCGGCGACGTCCTTTTGTGGTGTTTGTGTCCGGCGTTTTCCCTCTCCGTAGGGATTGGGCATCGAGATCGAAGGAGGACGATTGCAGATGGAGATGGATGGCGTTGGTAAGCAGGGGATTGGCGATCAATTTGTCGCAGATGAGGATAGTCGAGCAGTGCAGGGTACAGACAACGTGGAGAAACTGATCGGTCTCCCCCTGATTGGTGCTTCAACAATCGTTGCGAGGGTCAGACCTCTTCCAGAACCACCGTCAAGGGTTGATCGACGCGTTTTGGAGTTTGCTTATTATTTACCTTTTCTGCATTTTAATTTCCAAGTTAAGACGTTTGTGTTTTGTTGTTATTTTATTTTATGCTGTAAGACTCTTGCATTATGTTTGGGGGATGAAAGATCTGCGGTAATCTTCATTGGTTTTAAGTTGCCCAATTCAGGTCTAGCGAGTTATACTGCTTTTTTACAGGTGGTTAACTCTCAGTCTCGGCCAAAGGCGGATGATTACATGTGGTTCTTTTATTATCCTGTACCCCTGCTGAATGCTATTTTTATGAATTAAGCCCTCTTCGTTAAAAAAAAAATCTTTACAAGTTAATTAATGGCATTAAAAAGAAATAATAACATACAAGTATATTGATATAACTAAAATAAAAATGATGACAAAAATGTGAGCTTTTATTTAGTGATCATATATATTGATAACTATTAGTGATTATAACTATTAGTGTTTAATCATAAAGTTATGCACATACAAGTCATATTTTTTTCCTAGCTAGAAGTTTTTTTATTTTCTATTAACACTATTGTCTCGACTTCAAATTATTATGTACTACATCATAAAAGTGGACATGCTTTTGAATTTGAAAAACCCAAGTCAACAATCATCCTCCTAGCTAGTATGAACTATCAAACTGACATATGATCGATCTCAAATATACTACCAAGCATTCACGCACACCATATAAATAGCTTCTTTAAGGTCTAAAATTGGTTCCAGCTTGTGTTCGATCTACTTTCTTGTTATAGAACTCTTATTATGTGATCCTGATTATACGATCCTGATGAATAATCTTCATTCTAATTTTTCTTTATCTTTTAAGAATTTGATGTTTAAGAGTGTTGGGTTAAGGGCCCAAGCCGAGGTCCGGCCCACTAACCCATCTTGCCAGACGAACGTCCAGTTAGGACACTAGGCCAGCCCACAGGCCCATGTTCCCTGAGGATGGACGAACGTCTGGTGTTGGAGGACTCAGGCCCAGCAGCTCATCCCGACGAACGTCTATGCAGGGACAAGGAGCAGAACCACGGGCCACCAGGGATGGCGACGAACGTCCACAGAGCAAGCCTGCGGTCATCGGGGGAAACCCAGTCCACATGGTGAGTATCCATCAAGGCCAGGAGACGAACAGCCGATATCTCCCAAGGGTCCCTTGGAGCAATCCAACTCACTTCCCGGTGGACGAACGTCCCCACTAATCCGGCGGGAAACCTAGATTCTGGCGGGAAGTGCATTTAATGCTAAAGATTTGGTAGTTGGGACACCAGCGGTCCACAGGCTGCCACGTCACTACAGCCACCTGCCCATTGGCGGGTATAAATAGAAGCATTTATTCCATTGTAAAGGGTTGGCAACTTTCTATTCTTAGCATACTAGCTTCAGCATTCTTACTCGCAGCATTCTAACTGCCTTGTAAGACGAACGGCCGACGTGCCTTTTTTAGCAAGTAGATTGTACTTAGGGGAGTTATTACGAAGTTAATAATACCTACTTACATTGCCTGCTATTACTCTTGTTTCCTGATTCATCTAATAGTTGTTGGGCTAGACATTCATACACTCACTCCACTCGAAACCTTTGGGCTTACGTGTTGGGTCCACGGGTTGAAGGAATAAACCTCAACACTGGCGCCGTCTGTGGGAAACTGAGCGAAAAGTTTCCAGAAACTCTCCCAAACAGCTACTAAGTCTACCTACTGCAAACACGATGTCAGGAAGCAACACCCAGCGTGATCTCTCCGAGCGTCTGGAGTCGAGCCGGCGGAATCGCGGCCAGAACTCGGAACTATCCGCAACAATATGGACTTCAGGGGGAAACGGGGGTATCACTGACCTCATTCCCCTGGAGGCCAGGCAGGATCCCCGCCTCATGCGTGAACTCGCAGACACCATGCGTCGCATGGCGGACGAGCGGGAGGCCCGAGAGCAGGTGTACTCTGCAAGCACTCAGCGAACGCCCCTCTCTCCCATACGCCGCATGCAGTCGTACGATGATACGACGGGATCCAGTGACCACCGGCCCTCAGTCCACGAGCGGCTAGGTGGGGGTTCAGGCTCCCGTGAAACGGGAGGGCGGACCAGGGTTAGCATCGCTGCATCCAGGGCTCTCACACCATCGATTCCCCGCCAGATTCCGCGGGGAGACGAGACCCCAAGGGTCAACACCGTTGGACGACGTTTCCAACGGCGAGGTGCGCAGATCTTCAGGCGGCCGCACGATGTTGTGGCCGCTCAGCAGAA